TTTCCGTACACCTGGATTGCTCTCTTCGTTCGGCTGTGTGGGCCGAGCTTGCGCACCTGGTCCGTCGCAACGTCTGCGAGCTCTTCCGCATCGCCCTCAGCATCGTTCAAGGCCTGCCGCTCTACCAAGTTCTTCGAAAACGTCGGTATCTTGGACCATTCCACCTTTGTGTAGATGGCCAATTTACACTTTGACTTGGCCACATGGGTGATGACAACCTTGGTCACCAACTTGAAGTCTTGAGAATGGGGGAGATGCCACGCCGTCTTGATGTGTGTCACAACATACGTAACGTGTTCCTGGAAGACGTCCATGGTCTGGTAGTCGACAACGTCAACAGTCTTGGGTCGACCGATCATATCCTTGTAGTCGAACTTGAACTGGAACTCACGCCTCATCCGGCCATGGTCTGCCAGGGCCCAGGGCCCTTGGGCAATCTGCTGAGCTCTCCGTTCAAAATAGAGCTTGGGAAAGACAAAGCTCTTATCTCCAAAGAGCACATGGAAGCAGGCCTTGGCGCTGATCTCAAAGTGCCGCTCTGCAACCATTCTCTGCATGTCTTCGGGTTCGAAGATCACGGGATGAGCAGGCACCTGCACTTTGGGGGTCTGCCTCGAACCAGGCCCTGCTAAGCGAAGTCTAGGTCCAAACTGGCTCTGGCGCCTGGCTGGGCGTCCAGAATGCGTACCGTCATCGAACGGCGTATTTGATGAGACCTCTTCCCAACTTTCAATGCTTGGGCTACGCTTGCTGTAGTCCTCGTACTCCAGATTGATCAGTGCGCGGATGAGCTCCGGCAACTCCATTGGCTCCTCAGATTGCAGGTCGTCAATGAGAAGGTTCATTCTCGCGTGCAGAAGCTGAAGGTTGTCCAGGAAAATCTTGATGGTGATTCTGGTGTAACCCGTCTCGTTGCCATCCTCTCCGAGGTGAAGGAAAATGAAGTCGCATTCCTTACCGGGCGCGGCTGTGACCTCGGCTATTATGTCGAGACTGATGGCATAGGCAACTACGAGGCCCATTTGTTGTCCGTAAAAGTACATGTTGTCTGGAGTGATATAGATACGGCCGTTGCCTGCCAGTCCTTGCCCGTGGGAAGGCGAGTCCTTGCCTGTTGAGCTTGACCAAGCAGCGCGGAAGACGAGGACAAGCTTCTCGTCTAGAGAAGCATTGGGGAACAGGATCCGGAATTGGAGGTGCTGAATTCTCAGCTCTGGAGGGTATCCCTGAACAAAGGTTTCCACAGGCTGCCTGAACGGCGTGTGGGCTTGACTGGGTTTTGCATCGACACTGACAGTCTTCCTGTGCCCGGTAGTAGGGGTCGGAGGCTTCTCTTCGCCAGGCTTGCCCACCTCTCGGACTACTATTCCGAAGGGGTTCTCTTCGAGCAGGCCAGGAGTGCGAGGACGGCCTGGACCTGAACCGTACACTGTACTCCAAGGACTACTTCCCCAGTAGTTGGCGAGAACAGAAGTAGGCATGTGGCTAGTGGTGTCTGATCCTATACTTCTGTCGACGGATAGCATCACAGCCGTTCGGCTGAGGTTTGTTGCCGCAGGTGGTCTTGCCAGCGTCAAAGGGGCCAAAGTTCCTTGTACTGGATCCAGAGCAGGCAATCTTGAAGTGGACGAGTTCTTCGACCCAGCTTGTGGGGGGGAAGGGTATCCGGGAAGGTGGCCGTGGCTTGCTATCAAGCCCGCGATGCCGCCAGCGCCGGGGGCTCCGCCAGCAGCCACCGCAGCTTCGGCACCCGCACCAAAGGTCGCTTTTCGGTGAAGATCTAGCTTCTGGATGATCCTCGCTGCGTGGTCGCGATTGCTTTCTCCCTCCTCGCGCACCATCTCTCGGCCCAGGTCACGCCCAAGGGCAGTGATAGACCGACGCGGTGCACCTGCGTTCACGTCGAAGCTGGCACGACCGGCCATGCTGCCGTCCGAGCCGGGAACCGGTAGAGTTCCAGCCCGGTCAAAGCTGCCGGAGGGCTCCTCGCCAGCCACAACGGCGTCCAGAGACCTTGCTGAAAACTCGGGAAGCGGTGGCGGCGTGATGGAGAAGGCGGGATCGGCACCGGCGGGTGAGGAGGCGCTATCCCTGTCCATGCTGGCTTCAAATGCTCTCTTCTTGGCCACCTCGAAGACCTCCAGCCACTCAGTCAGCTGATTTTGGGTCTCGGCCTGGAGAACCAAGGTCTGGCTCTTTGTCTTGACTTCGAAACAGAATCTGCGATCCTCGGCAACAGCAGGTTTGGCATTGCACAAAAGGACGCCAATCTCATCGCCTTGCAGCACACCCTGGGGTCCGTTGATCAGCCAGCCAAAGATTCCCTCCCGGCAATAGTACCAACGACGGACCCAGTTCGATCTGGCCGGCTTTCCGTAAAGGGTTTTGAGGAAGAGCCAGCCCTGCTTCTCCGATACAACAGCAGAGCTTTCTTGTGGCTGGACGCTGACCGGACCTCTGGAACCTAAGTACTGGACCGTCGACGCACTGTAATCCTCCAACTCGCGGGATGGCTTGAACGCTTGCAGGGTACTTTCGCCAATATCGCGGCGTGCAATCTGCAGTTCCCTCTTGAATACAAATTCTGTGGTTTCCATCTCTCGCGACCAGCCACGGATGCGATCCATCTCGGAACCCCACTTTGTCGATACAGCAGCGGCGTCGCGCGACCGCTTCATTTCCTTCCAAAAGTCGGAGCTGACACGCACAAGCAACTTGTCCAGACTAAAGCGAATCTGTGGCGCAAGCTGGCAGAAGTCCATGGAGACCTTGAGATATGCCTTGCGGGTCTCGTACACGGCGAACGCTTCCTCTCTGATAGCAGACGGCTCCTTTGTCTTGGACTGGCTCATATACCGAGCCATAGCTTGATCGAAGTTTCTCTGTGTGTGGTCCAACACCCTCCTGACTTCCTTGAAAGAGCGCAGGTCGGCGGCGACGAAGGATCGGATGGGGTCGACGGATATGGTGTCCATCTTCCGCACCGTCGACATAATCTGAGTCCACCATTCCTTGGAGCCGTCGCTTATTCGGCGCAGAGCGAGGAGGGTGTAGTCGTGATCGACGATGGCATCGGCGGTTGCAGCGGGTGGGAAGATCTTGGACAGGTAGGTGTTGACACTTTCTTCGAGGGCTAATATGTCACGCGTGACGCGAGACGTGGACCTGACGTAGTCGTCCAGCCATTTCTCGACATTGTCGATATGTTCTCCAAAGTGCTGCGCAGTGGAACGGAAGGTAGGAGAGTCGAGAGATGCCTCGTTCAGGCCGACGGGAATCGCAGGGCTCGTTTGTTTTTGCGTTGTTGTTGTCGTTGCGGCAGCAGCCAAGGCGACAGAGGCCACGGGCTCAGCCATCGTAGGTAAGAATCGACGGTGTCGTCGTCGGGGACGACTAGGGAGTCGTTCGTTCGGTCGGTCGGTCAAAGGGATATCATCTGTGTTTATGATGGGCGCTATGCATGCTCTACAGGTCTGAACGATAGGATCTCTTGTGTATCGGAGCGGAAGAATGCTATATGGCGGATGGAAGTTGTAATGACGTCGGCGAACGCCGCATTTGGGGAGAGCCACGGGTACAACTTTTGGGAGGTGTGCTGTCAATGTCAAGCCTCGCCTCGTTGTTTGGAGAATAGGCTGAAGCCCGGCGGTGGGGGAGCCAATGAAACCATTCTCGCTTCGAGCTTTAGCGTCCGCGTTTACTGAGCGCTCCACCGTAAATTCGGCCGAGATCACCCCACGACTCACTGAAGCCACCTGCTGGTGAGATTACCTCAGGCGGGGGTGCTCACGGGGCCTGACAAGCAGTGACAAGTTACTTGAAGGAACGGGAAGGCACTTAAGCTCAGCCCAACTTTCCTATTACGGACAAGGCATGGCCCAAGCTCCCCTACTCCTTCCCCTTCAGTGTTCCATGCCATTGACAGTCCCTTCCTTCCATTCTGTGCTTCTCCAAACTGCAACTTGGAGACAGACCTCAACTCAACTCAACCTTTGGCGTTTTCCCCCTCCACTCTCCTGCAAAAGTATTTTCTCCATCCTCGTACGAATGAACAAGCTTCAAACATGGTTTGCGCCCTCCAAAGTCTCAATGCGATGCGTCCTGCATTGGCCGAAGAAGAATAAAGCCTTTCCGGAAGTCGGCATCAGCCATGGCAACATCAAACATCGCCTGGCACCTAACGGACTTCTTGTTCTGTTCATCCCTTAAAGGTCACTTGGCATACAGAAGCTGAAGCAGTCTTCATGCGCCCGTCCGCCTCGATCAGAGCCCGGCAGACAAACGACTCAGGTCTGGCTCATGCTCGACTCGAGAAGTAGACAAGTTTTTACCTGATCAACAGGCTCATGCTTGTGTAAGGTGTCGTCGGTAGCCTGCGCTCGCTTCAACGTCTGCCGCCCACCAGGCTTGCAACCACATCAATCCCCGGATTATCTGCCGCGAACTTGGACCATCTGGAGTAGAACTTATCCATTTGCCGTCAACATCGAGTCATGGAGACGAGGACGCGACATGTCAATAGCTGTCGTCACATAACTGACAAGGAGACAGCTACCTCGCGAAGCTCAACAAACCTAACCGGGCCTCAGCATGTCTTGCCATGCAAACTGCACACGCATCTGCCCCCGTCAAACTTACTCGAGCTTCTCTGTTCGAAACACGGGGCTATCACGACTGGCCGGGACGTCGTCGTTACTACACACGCATCCACGACAGAATTACAATCCCTATCCCTATCCTAACCTGGCATCCCAGACGCTGGTTCGTTTCTGCAACGGGCTCGACTGAGTGGGCTTTTTGGTGAAACATTGTTCCATCATCGACGGGTGGGAGGAAACAACCATAATGGCATCATGTTGGCCACAAACGGTATGGATTGTCCCGCCGCCAACACTGGCAACACTGGTCCATCTCGGAGCCGCGTGGCTGTCGAGTGTCGACTACGGAGTACATGCGGGCTGGACTGTTGGTGTCCTGTGCCCTTTGTGGAGGTGGAGGGTCAGGTCAATGCTAAAATCTCGGTCATGAGCGAGTCAACGTTGCCGTTTTTTTGCCCTCCCGCGGGCAGCACAGCCCCTCAGCCCCTCCCGTGTGGCATTTTTCATGCACCACCGGTGCCCGCTGTCCACTGACAAGCAATCGGCTTGAAGCGATCAGCGGGTCTTCTGCATTGGTAGCAGCACATTTCAGCTGCTCAAGGGGTACAACGTACCCAACCACGGGGCCCCCGTATTCGGTCTCTCACCAGGAACTGTGTAATAGGTCCCCTGAGTTGTGCGTCTAGGTACTAACTGTCTTACAGACCACTCCGTGCAGTAACTCACATGCTCCTTCTGCTGGTCTTGCCGGGAACCTCGCGTTCCTCACGTTGCAGTGGCATTTTCAACGGTTTCGTCAACTCAACCTCTCGCTCCACCCTCCTTCACCAGCCTCCCGGCGCCTGCGCCACACGCGGATCTCCCAGGGTGGGGGAGCACTCGCCGCACAGTTTCTTCCCCGGCCGGCAGTCCCTGTTCTTTTTTTGGATACTCGCTTTTTCGGAACCTCGAGATCTGGGGAAACCCTATAGAGGACGATCGTCGGTTTTCGGGGTCGCCATTTTCCCACCTCACGCCATGAGACAACTACGCAATCGACATGCTTTCGCGTTAACGTACGAATGCGCATTCATGTCTTGTTTGCCAACACACCAACCGTCGGTGGTACTCGAGCAAAATGCGGCAGCCTTAGATATTCATCCTCCACTTGGGCACGGGCACGATAGCTGGTGGCGACTATTGGTACGATCCCCGTTGGCTTCAAGACCAGGCATGCCTTGCGTAGGAAACCTGTCCAAAACGAACCGTCCTGCTCACCTTAGGCACTGGGCTCAAGGCTCAAGCTTGTTGTGCTATTTTGGACCCAGCCTGAGTCACTAGACAGATCCATGAATCTTTGCTAGATTTTCGCAAGAGCCAATGTCGTTCCACTGGCGTCCGACGACAAGTGACGCATTGAGATCACCCTGAATATGGGCAACAGTCTGCACTGGAAACGAATAGTAGTGCAAAGATGCCTTCCTGCAGGAGCTTGATACCTCTTGATATTCAACTTGTTTTCCCGGGCTCCGCCAAAGCCATAGGATCTCCTCCCGCACAACCGTGCGGCAAAGCAAGATTTGCGGGTCGCGGGCCCAGCTACTGGGGTAGGGATCTGCCGTGGAGTGTGGCGACACCAGAAACGACACAACCTGTGAAGCTTGGCTTGGTGCTACCTTGAAAGAAAATCCCGGGTCCGAAACCCCTTTCTCCCAGAAGACGGGATACTGAGGTGCTCTGTATGGTTTGCCATAGCCTTGACAAAGACAAGCCTCTCACTCACCGATGGGAAACTCCATGTGACTCAGGTCAAGTGACGGCAGTAGTGGTCACGAGCTCTGACGGCCAACGGGCACTGGCTGCTGTCAAAGCCAGCCACCCGAGGTGCGGCAAACAACGGCGGAGCCGCCTGCTTCGACAACAGGCGAAGGCCGCGGGGGCCAAAAATAGGTAGTCAGCAGACCCATCCGTACTTACAACTTGCCGCGACGGCACAAGAGCCGACTTCTGCCGACTTTGCTGCGAGGGAGACTCCACCACGTCCGCTTGTTCGACTCCACGACGACTCGTTTGTTGCCTTCTGCCGCGTCTATGACCGGACAGCCGCCGCACTCTCACTACTTTCAGACTCCCAAGCGAGCATTCACATCCGTCTAGGGTGCCATTGCAAACCCACACTGTCTCTCCCTGCGATGCCGACACCGGGTCGCAGAGCAGCCAGCTTCCGCCCGGATGGGATAGTGGAATTTAGCAGGGAACTTAGAACTACGTGTTCGGATTTGTTTGCAAACGAGTCCATTTTGCCACAAAACCAATATGTCATGGTTGACGATATGGCACCAAGGATATTTGCTTGCTTTCTGGACATGTTTCTGGGCGATGGCCCCTTGTTTGAGTCAACACCAACTGGTTCGGCATTTTGGCAACTCGATTGGACGGCAGATTAATTGTGACAGATCTTAATCCGCTTCTGGAGAGGTTCGAGAACGGTTGTTTCTGCAGCCGGGCACCCACGAACGGGGCAGGCCCTTTCCCAATCTGGCAATCTTGGTATGTAACCTCTCCTGATGACCATGACCTTGCTCATCCGCCTGTCCCCTAACCTGGCGCCAAAGTCGTTGCGCCATTAACGGTGCCATTATTGCTCAGTGAGCTTTCGCTGCGTCTTTCAGGTGTCAAGGGGAAGTTCCTAGGAGCGTTTTGACTCCAACCGTCTCTCCTCATGATGGATCTCTAGAGCATTTAGCTCATGATTGGTCTAATATCAAGCCAGAAATTCAGTATTTTTGCCAATCATGATGAAGTCGCTCGGCCTTTTCCCGTCCAGGCCCACATAGTCCAAATCTGGCCGTCAGCTCAACAGCCAATGAGGCACCAGAAGCCAGCTTTTTCCCAACCACACCTCAGCTCACCTCGGCCGCTAGCAAGGACATCAACCTTGCAAAAGGCCATCTACAGGCTGTCATTGCTCGACGTTTACACCCTCGAGTCCTCGACCACCCTTTCTACCTCTCCACAACGATGTTGGATCCCGTTCCATTTCGACGGACCAACCCCCTTCGGCTCGGCGGCGATGCGAAGTTCAGAAGGGAGGAGGGCAATCCCACGCTTCCGGAAACGCTCTACACGCCAGTTCTCAGACGGAATAGCAACGCTGCCATTGCGGTACGCCGCGCCATCTGGTCTGATGTCGCTGTCCAAGGCGGAGCCCGGCCGGGACTGCAGGCGGTTGAATTTAGTGTTGGTTCTTTTGGCGGTTCTTCCTCCGGCTTCTTCGGCCGCTCCAATCATGGCAGTGCCCTGAGTCTCGTGAAAGTCGAGCCGGCCCAGCAACTGCGACCTTATTCTCCAAGGAGGTCTAAGTTGCATATCGAGATGCCCAGTCAAGGTCACATACGATGCTATGCGGGTTATTGGGGCTACCCGCCGTCGCGGCCGCGCCTGCGTCGTTTCAAAGACGATCTCCTGCTAGAACCTACATGATGCAGGGCGACACGCAGAAGTGTCCTCAAGGCACATGCAAGTCATAATGGTACTAATAATCGATAGAAAGTGAGAAGAAGCGTCTGGACCACACGACTGGCCAAGACAGACAGGCCATTTTATGACGGTTATCAGAAGACGACTCATTCATCTCCGACGAGGTCTCAGCTAAGCCAGTGCAAGATTGACCATCGCCAACGAGCTCGATCGCCATGGTTGTCTTGGCCATGCTGCTGGCTCTAGGGGCTTGTCGAATGTAGCCATGGCCTTGTCCCTGATCTAGCTAACAAGAATCAAGCCACGGTCTCCAGATCGACGAAGCTGGACAGACACAGTCAGGTGCATAAGCGCAACCTCTTGACGGAACTTCAGGATAGTTTCCTAGCGGCAGACGAGTCGACATAGGCAACTTGGATTTCTCACGCCTGCATGTTACAGTACCACCCATCCCAGGTTACAAAAAGTCTGGACCTGCGCGGGCTGTTATGCCAGTGAGCATGATATCACAAATGTGTTCCAATCATGGCAGCCCTCGCGACGATTGTACGCCGAAGGCTCTACGCAAGCAGATCTGATACTTCGCAAAAAGAGCAAGGTGCATGATCAAGGAACATGCGAGTAGCTGAAGGGGCGCGATGAGTAATATTTGCAATATGATATATCGAAAACTACTTTTGGTGAGAAGGCCCGGCTCGGACAGTTTGAAATGACCGCGGAAGCGATCTAGACGGCCCCGGTGCAGACCCAACAAGAGGTTGACCCGATCGTGGACACTTGTCAGACGAAGCGCTACATGGACTGTGGGCGTCGAGGCTACGGCGGCTCGGTCACTTCTTCATTCACCCCACTTTACTGGGCATCGGTTTGGAGAGAAACTGGCAGCTCTTCAACCAGGACGCACCCTGTATCTCAGCAGTCAGGGGTACGCTTTGCTCAAGATACATGTGAAAGGAGGCGCTTGGTGTTGGTGGGTGCCGGCAAGCAGGGGTAGGCCTTCTTTGAGACAGTAACATTCCTGACAAGCAGCGACAAGTCTCGTTTGTTTCTTTTCTGTCAACCGACTGTCCGGGGACTTTGGCAGTTGGGTTTGCAGTTTGTGCGACGGCAACGACAATTCGGAGGTGTCTCTCATCGGGCCTGTCTCTAGCCGGAGAGACACGGATTCTGATTCAGAATTCAGACTTTACGCGGACAAGTTTCTCGTGGGATTTATCAAATTAGGACAATTGGCCGTGGACTTTTGCGAATGCAACAGAGTACAGAGAGGGGGAAAGTATCGACCTAGTGAAGAGATGCTGATAGACCGATGGTACTTGACCGACATACTCTTTTTGGAATGAGGGTACTTGGCCCGAGGGTGGCGGCGACTTACGATTGCAAGAGGGGAACATGGACTAGTACGATAGGCCCAGCAGCCCGGATCCCCCTTGTATCCTCGATCGGAAAACAAGGCATCTCAGGCAACGGACGCATCGCAACGCATTCGTACGGAACGAGATATCCAGGAGGCAATATGCGGCTACCACGATGACTTACCTGCCTTGTCTGGAATGTGGACAGAGGGCGTATAAGGGTCGGTAACAAGGATTGAGTTTAGGCTGCGTTTGCTGTCCCGTACTTTCTTGTTGTTCGCACAGGCCACGGAATCACGGAATCCAAGTACCAAGACAGCAGTCCGGTTTGCCTCACGAATATCGGCGCGGCGGGTTTACCCAGGCGTACAGGTGTTCAAGCACGAGCTCCGCCTGAAATGCCAGGTCGGGAGGCCACCTCACGAACACATCATCACATTTCACTGGAGCCGTAAGGTTTGAGTCTCTTGGATATCCCGAGGCACGCGATCTCTCGCCTTGCCTCGCTTTGCGAAAGACCTTTGTGGCGTAGTATTCCGAGGACGCGAGAAGCCTCTGAACGGGTCATGGACGACACCGACAAGCCACAGGAGCCTTGCGCGGACCAGCGGAGAGGTACACGGACACTTGACTAAATAGAACGGACCAAAAATTCGGATTGGGATGGCTTCCACGAGTTCTTACAGAAGGCGGAGGGAAGTTGGAACGGCGGCGAGAGATACAAGTTACCTTAGTCGGGCATGGTAGGGCATGGCATGGCATGGCAGCACGGCCAGGCCTACGCTTGCATCTGCACTGACATCGGTCATTCTCAGCTCGCTGCTGGGGATTTTGGGCTCTTTTGCGGGATCCGACGGTTCCCATTCGCCTGGCCTCTCGGATTCTGTCATTGAGCATATGCAGGTCGCAGCACAGCCCTGATCTTGTACGGCGGTCCCTACTATAATTTTTGGGGACATTTTTTTTCTTCTTCTTTTTTTCGTCCGTCTCCTCGCAAGTTTTTCGCCGCCGCCGCGCCGCCGTCGCTTTCGCTCGCTTCATGCAGAAGCGCATGCGCTGCGCAGCTCGGCACGTACTCTGTACAGACTACAGAGATCGGATACTCTTCTTTTTTCCCTCTCTGAACCTTTTTTTAGAGTCTCCATCGATTTGGCTCCAGAAAAAGCGCAAAGATTTACACTTTACTCTGCTGCTCATTGCCGTCAACCGAATCTGCCGCGAATCTTTCTGAACCGGGATTGGGGCCGAAGGAGGGCGGACGGCAAATCAGAAGATAACCTATACCCAATTCTTTCCCTACACTTCGGTCTGCGGATACTTTGCCTGGGACGTACTGTATCCGTCCATGGCTCCGAATTGATCCAGAGTATGATGCCGAAGTCTGTTCTGACCCAAAGACAGATCTACCTGAGCGTTTTGCGCCGTCTCCGGTGCCCCGTATCTAAGCCCATAGGAACCTCTCGTTTGTCTTCTTCGCCTTACCACGCCCGACCTAAGCAAGCCTTACCCGGGGTCGAATGGATTCCCGAGCCTGGTTGTTCGATGCGCTTTGTCACCTCTTCACATGGTGCTGGCATAATTCTTGGGAATGTTGGAACGATCTTCAAGACTTGTCCCAGACTTTCTCTAGGTCGTTGTTGGACGTTGTAATCCACAGCGTTGGGCCTATAACGAAATGTGGCGCAGATGCAAAAGACCACGCACGCCTCACACAATGCATTTCAGAAGCCACGATCTTTCAAGTTTGGACAGTCTAAACCAAGACGGGAAACATGTCTCTGGCAAATCTCGACCCAAAAGGCATAGCAGGAAACAAGAAAAGTGACCCAGAGTCAATTAGGTTGCTGGTAACGTTCCGACTCAACGGGCGGGCAGCCTGCCAGCCACCTCGCATCAGTCAGCGGCACTTCATCACCACCAGCCAACGGGACGACGTTTGGTTACATCGCTCTCACAACTCTCACAGAAGGGTGTTCCCACAGGCGGCATAGTAAAAAACCAAATACAGAAGAAGAGAAGGAAAAAAAAAAAAAAAAAAAAAAAAAAAGTGCTGGCCCAAGCTTGCGACGCAGGCAGGCGACGGCATCCGAAGCAGTCAGGGAATTCCTGGCTTGCCCTAGGCCATCTAGCCTAAGCTTGCCAACCTGCCAAACCTTGCTTCGGCTCACTCAGCTGTGTGGCTGCTTGGTTTACACACTCTGCAACTTGACATGACAAGACTCACGACATCCGTGCAAACGCCAAGTGGCGGGAGGTGTGGTGTCTGGCTGCCTACCTACTCCATGTAAGTGAAATGGGGCCTACTCCGAGAGGGAGTCACTGGGCCCGAGGTGGGCTGAAAACTCACTACTGCGTAGTAAGGCCAGGCGAATTTGGTTGCGATGTTGGCAAAAGAGGATGAAGAGCGCATGAGTGGAATGGCGATGGCGAACGGACTCGAGAGGCCAACGACTAACGCAGGTCCATGTTCGTTGGAGTCCTCCCATTGACCGACTTTGACGTGTCCAACTGGATATTGTTGCTAGATCCGCCACAAGCTAGGATGCTCTACGGATACGCAGGTTGTGGCATGAAGAAGACGAGCATCGCCGACCCCAACGCCAACGCCAACGCCAACAACCAGGCCAGCAAGCCTTGGGCTCCAGCTTCCAGCTCCCCCCGGCCGCCGCCGGCCCTCAGCTTCATACTGTAGGTATCCCGTCATGGAGGGAACAAGACCCCGTTGGGAGAGGAGAGGGCAAAACGAAAAAAAGAAAAGAAAAAAAGTATGGAGTCCCGGGTGAGGCGACGAGGAGACCTGGAAGCCGGCCCAAAATGCATGCACCGCGCACCGAGGCTACCCTAACCTGAGGCCTACTTGCGTACCTACCTAAATCCGTACGGATACAGAGCGAGCCAGTCATTCAGAGTATGCCTAGGGCCTGTCCTTGGATCAGACGCATGTACCGGTCCATGGCCAGACATGTACCTCTTAGAGGTACCTACCTATAGCAAGTAGTCCCCGGCGCCATAGGGAGATCCGATGCTACTGCACGGCGCGCTGCGCTGCCCCCCGCCGGCGTGCATCATCCATGGATGATGGATCTTCTGCCTTCCTGTCTCTTCCAGCTAGGTACTCACGTACTCTGGACTCGAAGCTCTGGGTTCCAAGCTCCGGGACTTGAGAGATCTGGTTCTGGCTACGGAGCATGATTCTCTTCTCTGTTTCTCTCTCTCTCTCTCCACTTGCTCCTCCAACTCGTAAGGGGTGCAAAGAGCGAGGAGCAAGGAGTAGCCAGTGACAAGTTCCTAGTGGAGGTAACCTACCACACCCCTTCCCCCTTCCCCTCTGCTTGCGCCCTCTTCCCGCCTCCTGGACCATGGACCATGGGAACCGCCTGCCGAAAGCCCACCGGGCTGGTCGAGGCGAATGGGAAAGAAGGCAGTCAGTCAGTACCTACTTTTCTGGTGAGCGGGGAGTACGAAAGGTGCAAAAAGAGTAGCAGCGGGACAACCTCTGAAGGGAAAAGACTCAGTTTCGTGTACCCCGGTACTTGACCTAACCGCCAGAGGTATCCCTGTCCCACGCATAAGTCAAAGTCCTGGGGTACTCGTCACCTCATAGTGCTCCGTACCGCAGCCGCAGCAAGCAAGCACCACACCCATGACAGGCCTTGACTGCGCTGAACAGCAGTGAACATGAGTGGGTAGAGAGGAGCAAAGAAGGCTGACCGCAGCTCTCTCTCTCTCTCTCTCTCTCTCTCTCTCTCTCTCTCTCTCCCGTCCTTCCACTCCATCTCTCTCACCAAGCCCCATGCCCCAGGGCTGTCTCTTCCTCGGGCGATTATAACACCCCACCACCCTCGCACCACATCCTGTCTCTTCTCACCCTCCCTCTTCCTCTTCACGAGCTCTTCGTCCTCCTTCTTCTTCTTCTTATTCGTGGTAGCAGGCGTGCAAGCCAAATATCCCTTGTTATCCTCTCGGAATCCTTGGGACCGCCCAGCTCCGTCATCACTTGTTTCCTTTATTACTTCATTTTCCCTCCCCGTCTATCCCACCCCTCTCCCCCCGCTGTTCTCGAGGTGTCTACCAAAATCAATAAGACAAGATCAACAAGAATACCGTCCAAGATATCAACCACCAAAAAAGACCCTCTACCCGAGACTTATCCTTGACGACAACAACGACGACGACAACGATAACGACAAACCCGCCTCTTTTTTTGTCATCACCTCACACCAACTGATCCTCCCCGTTCATCCTCCA